AAAGCAGCCCGAGTGGACGCAGATTTGCGGCGTGCTCGGTCAGTCTCTGCGCGTGGCCACCATCACTTCGCCATCGCCACGCTCGCGTCGGTCGTTGAGGAATGACGCGCGCGCACGTGTGCTTGTGCGCAGGGAGCCCCCGCTCGCTGGCTCATTCGTGTCGGCTGCTGATCCGAAGACGCTTGACCCTCAAGCGACTGAACAACGCCGAGATTATGAACTCGCCACTTTTCCCGCCTCGACTGCGAAGTTTCATCTTGTACCGCGAGCAGGACCTCCTCCAGGGAGAACAAGCGTGACGGCGTGACAGGAGATTGCCCTTCGTGCTTCCCACGTGTGTAGTGTGTGTGTGACGTGTACGGGGAGTGAAGGAGCGAGCGTGCCATGGAAACATTAAAAATGAGATATGGTGCTTCGTCACGTGGGTCTCTTTCTTTTAATCAAAACGCACAGATCGGTGCACTTGGAGGAGGTTGATTGTCATCTGGGGAACGCGGCTTACCCGTCAGCCGTTTGGAAAATGGCGGCCAAAGACGCCATCTTGATCGCCGTCAACTTTGATGGCCGCAAAGTGTTTCACTCTGTTCCGTTCTCAGTGACCATACAGAACTGACAGTTAAAGCTATATTGACTTTAATTGGCATAACTCTGGAAGCACATGTACGTTAACATCGGGGAGAACACGTCACTTCCTGTTCCCTCACCCAAAGCGGTCCCCCTAGCAACAACTCAAGCTAACAAGACTATTGTTACACAAAGAATTCAGAAGTTGGACGGAATCCGAAGCAAGGTGTGGAAAACGGGCACGGCGACATCATCGGCGTCTTTGTTCGCTGTCGCGTGCTGTCCGAAAATTGTGGAACACGGCGTATTTCCATCGTGAATCACTCCGAATCTCGCCTGTGTGGAGACGAAATTTGCCACATTTTGTGACTGTCCAAACCTAATTTATACTCCGGGTGGCGCCGCAGGAGCAGAAGTGAGCGGACTCGGCGTCAATTGGCTGAACAACGACGTCACTATTAAGACACTTTGTTTTCCTCAATGTGCTTCTCGCCTGCCATCCAGAGGCCATTCAAACTGACCGCGGGTCCCAATCACAAGGAACGCATCATGAGCGCGCACGCACGCACGCACACACACACACTACATCTCAGTCGACCGGTGCCACATTTGAAAAAGTGACTGTAGATGACAAAAGAATATTAAATGCCAATGTCGCAACTAAAGAGGTTCGGGTCACGGATCCACCGATCAATCCGGGATGCTTGTCATGCCGAAAACAAGAGGATGTGCTTCCGCATATTGCCACCAGAGGGCGCCACAGAAAACACGGGGGCAGCATCCGAGTTCAAGAGACACAAAGAAGTAGGAGGCGCAGCACTCGACTGTAAGGATCAACATTTATTTCCGGATACAATTTAGCATCTCTCTGCACACACTTTGGGCTGACCAACGTCATCAAAAAAACAAAACAGTCCAAAGCCCCGTTACATCTTTCCGCTCTCTACGTTTTGGTTCACTGTTATTCGTGTTGCATAAGAGCGCCCCCAGCATCTCTCTGCACACACTTTGGGCTGACCAACGTCGTCAAAAAAACAAAACAGTCCAAAGCCCCGTGACTCTCTACGTTTTGGTTCACTGTTATTTGTGTTGCATAAGAGCGCCACCGCGCGCCTGAGCGACCGATCGGACGCGAGAGGGCGGGCGGAGGAACGGCGCGGCAAATTCTGAACAGACCGTCAGTGGCCGCGAGCTTTTGAACGGTCACTGTGGAACTTTGCGGGGAAAACAAACAAAGCTTGTGCAAATGAACGCTTCAGTCACATCTTCCATGACAAAACTCATGAAAAAGTCGCATTTTGGTCTCGGTGAAGGAAAATCAGACGGGTTAGACTCTGCAGGCGGGAAAACATTGTAAGAAAAACCAACGCATACAAAAAAAAAAAAGTTGAAATGTCTTCACAATGGAGGAAGTGCGTTTGTTCTCAAGATGGCTGCCAAACTGTCACAATGGGAGCACAGGGCGGCGACTCGCACAGGAATGACAATAAATTAAAAATGCAAACGAGTCCAAATAAATACACGCAATATATGTACAGCTGGAGTCCACTCGGGGGAGAGTTTTTTTGTTTGGTTTTCAGTCGTCCCACTCGTCGTCCTCCTCAAAGTCTTCTTCCTCGTCATCGTCATCCTCGTCGTCTGAAAGCAGGCGACAATTATTTTTTTTTGGTTTGCTTGGGAGGAGGAAAACGATTGACTGTTTGGAAATGTCTGTGACGAAATGCGCAATATATATTGATTAATGCGAAATATAACTTGAATGAAATGCGAGTGTTTTCTGAAAAATCAATCTCGGGGTGGGGGGGTGAGGGTTTTTGGAAGGGGAGGGATCTTTGGCAAGTAAGACTTTTGGGGGAAATAACCAACTTGACGTAGGATATACGACTTGTGAATTTTGAAAAGCTACAACTGGTTTGAAAATCTCCAGCTTTTTGCAGCTATCGACGTCTTGCTTGGAAATAGACGGGCTAATTTCTGACGTGCAAGAAATTTGGGGAAATATTCCACTTTTTTGAGGGAATAAGACAGACTTTCAGACACTATTTTATGGTCCTATTTAAGATGCGACCATTTTTAGCGTGCGCGGCTATTTTTAGAAATATTCCAGGAATAGGCATCTTTTCCCAGAATAAGACAACTTTCAGAAACTATTTTATGGTCCTATTTAAGATTCGACCATTTCTAGCGTGCGCGGCAATTTTTTAGAAATATTCCAGGAATAGGCATCTTTTGGGGGGGAACTACATCCGATGGCCCCGAAATAACCTGCGCGAGGTTTTCCCGTATCGCCGCCGTCCACCGAGCGCGCCGCTTACCTGAAGAGTGGATGGCTTTGCTCCTCTTCTGCATGACTTCCATGAGGGCGCCCACGATGCCCGCGGTGGGCGCCGACGTTGGGGGGCCGGGCTCCTGATGATCCGACACCTGCGGACACCAAGGTGTTATCCAAGTTCGGCTGACAACATCGTCACGTGCGGGCGCTACCGTCTTGAGTTGGATGCCCTGTCGAATCTGGTCCAGCAGGGCGTCCCGGCCGCCGCCGCCGCCGACGGGCGGCTCCCTGTGGTTCTGCTCCACCTTCTTCAGCTGGGCGCCGCCCCGAATCTGCTCCAGGAGCGCCGACTTCCCGACAGGGAGCGGCGAACGGGGCGCGGCGTCCCGTACGCCGTCTGGCTCCGGCG